GGGTGATTAGTGATCGATACTGATGCCAAAAATGCAATCAGTAAAATTTTTGTCTGTCTGTCTGTCTGTGTGTATGTTCCTTATAGAAACAAAAACTACTCAACGGATTTTAACGAAACTTGGTACAATTATTCTTCATACTCCTAGGCAGGTTATAGTATATTTTTCATCACGCTACAATCAATAGCAGCAGAGTAGTGAAGGGAAATGTTGGGAAAACGGGAGAAGTTACACCATTTTTTAAGCTTCCGTCGCGGGTGCAGCCTTAATGGTTAAAGTTACGTAGAAATCATGTATGACGGAAACATTCTACATAAAATTGTCTAAAAAATATCCCGCAACAGCATATGTCTATCTTTTATGGTTTACTCACAATAATACGTGTGACTCCTGATAGCTTAGCAGTTCGGAGCATTATGATTATATTTGTTTACTCTTACGTTTATAATACTCTCACTCATCCCTAATTTAAAAAAGTTAACATTATTACCTATTCAATTAAAAAAGAATCATAGAAAAAGAATTAAATAAATAAATTAATTGTGTACAACACGCCTGAGAACAAAAACTATAGTCTACACTACAGCTCTACACCGAAGCGAAGCGAGGGCGGGCCACTAGTAAACAATAAAAAAACATTTACATCGTTTATTTGACACATTATTATTTTAAAACCAAATTAGCCTTGAATCCAGTTCCGCCCAGCAATATGTTTTTAAATAATATAAACGATATAACTTCTCCTTGAGGAGCTCGATGGCGCAAGTGGTTAGCGCGTTCGGCTGCGATCGTTGAAGTTAAGCAACTTCCGCAGTGGTCGGTCATTGGATGGGTGACCAAAAATTTACTATCTCCGTGCTTCGGAAGGCACGTTAAGCCGTTGGTCCCGGCTGCATCTGCAGTCGTTAGCACCCACCAATCCGCACTTCTTCTTCTCAGAAAGGTCTCCCAATTTTGGAACCGGTGGTAGTTTACGGTAGTTAGGGTCAAATATTTATTAGATATAACTCAAAATTACAAAAAAAGAATTTTAAATAAAGTACTGTATTAACTAAATAACTAATAAAATAAAAAAAAATACTAAATAATAATATTTTAATACTAATAAATACATAGACAATAAAATTTTAAAAATCTAACAATGAAATAACCAAACGCTCAAAGTCTTTCGAAGGTAGCTCGACAAAATTAAATAAAAAATCATTATTCTGACGAAGAAGACCTGAAAAGGCTGCGAAACGTCAATAAATAAATAAAGTTTCGTGCATTAACCCGTTAAAACTAGTTTTATTTAATGAGTGATGTTCGTAAAAACCTAAGAAACAAATAAATATTTACAAGTTCAAATGCTGTACATTGTAGTTACAGCCATTATCCTGCGTTAGATCATATTTGACATGAACATTAAAGGGATATTGTGGTTGTACACCGCTTCCTTACAGCTAGTACACGCATGAATAATGACAGCACAGTAGCATAAATACAGCGGTGTTTAGCGACCGACGCAACTATATTAAACTTGTATAGCACACGCCGTCTGTCTGTAATACACGGAACAAAGCAGACGGAGCGTTTTAAAGCATTATTTAGTGAGTGAACATTACCAATGTTTTTAAAAGTCATTGTACGTATATAATATTTGTTTTTTCTTTCAAAGTTAACATAATATTATTAAGAAAATATTCTAAGATAACAATCTAATTACATAATTACTCTATTTAAATACTAGAACAATAAAACTAAAAACCTTAAAAAATAAAATTAATAACTAAAATATATTATTAAAAGGAGTCCCTTTAGGCAAGGATCCGAAGATACTGGCAGCGTTACCCCTTTGAATAGCTAGACTAATGCTTTGTCCGAGGTAGCTGCCAGCTCTTCGGTCTCCTGTGATGTCGACTAACCTTTTTGCTATTTCCTTAAATAGCCTTAAAGCGCTAGGACCCCACGGACCAAGGGTCTCGACACCGACCGGGACAAAATCATATTTGTTTTGTAACCAGATTTTGGCAAATCATTAATTATTTATAAAGTTTCGCGTTCCAATTTTATAGGTAGGTACTACACCATTTTTTTAAGATGTTGTTAAAGCGCGTATTAATACAATTTTTGCTTTCATAATCACAAAGTACTTACATGCTGTTCATATCGATATATTTTTTTACTTTTTAGAATAAATAGGATTTTCATACAAAGCTTTATTCATTATTATTTAGTACAAAACCACGTGTGTCCATCTAGCTGCCACACAACAGACAAAGATTAATGGTTCAATGTACTTAATAGTACGCTGTTTTCGTAAATGCAAATATTATAAAGCCGAAAGTTTGTGCGTGTGCATGTTTGTTACTTCTTCACGGGTAAACAGCTGGAGCGATTTTAATAAAATTTGGTATGCAGTTAGCGGACACCCTGGATTAACACATAGACTTCGTTTGGCTGTGGGAAAATATCCCCTAATAAACCGCGGGTAACACCGCGGGGCACAGCTAGTAAATTCATGATTTAAACCATATTGTTGGTTTACGATAACAGTTGTCACAAAGTCGCTATAGTGATGTGCCGTCACCGGTAATTTTGGATATTTACTGTGAAATTTTATAAAATTAAATTTATTCCGAAAAGCACGGAAATATTCCCGCGGCAATGCTATGAGTAAATCACTGGGATTCTTTAAAGTTCCTACCGAAGCTAATAAAAATACCTCTAGTCACCAATTTCTATCCTAGTAATCTTAATATCATAAATGTGAAAGTGTTTGTTACTCAACCACGCAAAAATTAGTCAGTGCATTCGCCCGGATTGCGAAGGGTGCGGGTTCGAGTCCCGTCTGCTGCCTGGTCCGCGTGGAACTTTTTCTAGTTATATTTTCTTTAGATTTAAACATCAAGCAGTTGCATGCTTTTAAAAATAATAAAATAATATAGATTTGAGTTATATTTGGTTCGCATATAGTTTATGACCTGAATTGATACAAAGAATACTTTTTATCGCAGAAAAAAAAGAAAGTTCCTGTGGGTTTATTAAAAAAGTCAGAGTCAACGCGGAGGAAATCTTGGTCGCATGCGGCCGCTACTAAAGCGCGTAAAGGCAGCATTAACCACATTCCCACCGACAAAGCAATAAATATGAAACAAGAATTTATTATACATTTTAATCATACTCATATCGCTAGTGATTCACAAGGAAACAAATTCACTCTATTGCCCACAATGAACTCCGAGAGATCGTCCATCAACGACGCAAACTTTGACATCGAATTTATCAACCGCGATGATTTAAGGCCTGCATAAGTCGCGGCCTATTCGGCCCATGTATGGCCCAATGCCGCCCTTATATGGACCACACTGGAGTGCTTTACCGCGCCACAGACCAACCGGTGAATTAATGAGATAAATACCCCTCATAAATGGATACACTATTTCAATTTTCTTCAATATTTATCTGCGAACGAGATACGATTCGCAGGACGGACTTTGGATCTGACAGCCTGTTTTTGTACCAATGCACAGGTGCCTTATAAGGTAGAGAGCCTACTATTAAGTTATCGCAACTGTGTGTCCGATGAACATTAATGTAATTAATACTACAAATTATGGGAGAACAGACGACCACACATACATAACGGGAAAAATCAAAACCCACGTTTTCGCCACAGTCAAAAAGTTATCAATATTTAAATTATGCAGTGCTATTCTGCAATAACAAACTCACATTTCACCTCAGAATCCACGGTGTGAATTATAAACACGAATTTCAAATAAATTTTAGATCACACCAGCTAATTTCGGAGTGAATAGTGTGTGTGCTTATTCTTACAGAATAGCAATGTGCAAATCTGCCGTCCTCAAACTAAAACCCGGCTAAATGACAAAAACAACTTGTGAGATATGGCCAAAAAAACTGCACGTAAACATTAAATTATTGCTATTTTGTAACCATTCATCACATGACAGATTTTTAGACTTAAACTATAAAAGATACGAATACTTGTTACAGACAGATCGATAGAGAATTAAAAACTGTATACGATGCAATTTAAGACTGAAAAATCGACCACATGTCACTTAACCGCATTTTAGTTTGAGGACGGCAGAAATGGAATCCAGACTTGATGTTAGCTAGCGTATGCCTTTTTCAGGTGCCACTGGCCTTCAAGGTGCTTCTTTACGCCACTCTTGAACGCAATGAGTTTTATTGATGCACTTAACCGCAGCCGGCGCCGCTTGTAACGGCCTTGCATTTAACTCGCGACACTGTTGACATTATCATACGACGATCACGTGGTTTATGGACAGTTTTACGACTCCAATTGTAAAAGACAATAATACAATGACACTATCTTCGCCAGTGAGTATCACATTACCTTGATACGTGAGTACTTTTAACATGTTTATCGGCATGCAATATAATACCAATGTCTTTAGCGTTGACAATGTTGACATTCGATTCATTCGCAATGTATTTATGTAATTGCGAGTCGATTGTACCCACCAGTCTGCACTGAGATCGCATGGTGGGTGGGTCATGATAGCCTCTTCGCCCCTATGCGGTTCATAAGTAAACAGGCTATGCTCCTATAAAAAAACCGAGTGGTCTAAGGCTCCAGAGGGAGAGGAGACTCCTCCCGAGGAGAGATGCCATCTGTCTAGAATATCTATAGCCAGAGACCCTCACCAATTCTCGGCTTGAGCTCCCTTTAGGATATCGCCGTCCCCAAACCTGTCACACTTTAAAGGTCATCTGGTCTTTCCCATTGGGCACTTTGGGCAAGTGCCCAGGGCCACGCGATCGATTAGGGGCCCCCTCAGATCAAATACAAAGTCCCTAGTTCCGGTTAAATCACCAAACGGAAGTCATAGGGGCCCTATTATCCTAATATGCCCAGGGCCTCCAATAGGTCAAAGACGGCACTGGTCATCTGTAAAATGCGATTTTGTAGTACTGCATCTAAAGCCCTATCGTGTTCATCTGTTGTACCCAGAAAGTAAAGGACTTACTCCGTTTTTTGTCGAAGAGCATCTCGGTGCACATTTCGAGTGGCCGCTGGCGGTCTCCCTCGGCGGGGTAGCCGCGGTGGCCGGGCTCACAACGGTACACGACACCTGGTCGAGAAACGCCTTGCATATATATGGAGTCGTCTTCAGGCGCACCCACTAGGATCCTGTAACAAAATAATAAAGGGCATGAGTATTTTATGAGTAAGTTTTACTGGACGGCGTAGGGGATGTGGGCAGGGTAGCAACGCTCGTGTGATACTCTGGTTCTGTACCCCTAGCACGAACCATTATCGAATTCGAATAGTTTGTAAACCGAAATGTCAATGTCAAATTTTGTATGGAAACTTGAACAGCAGCGGCACAAAGTACGTAACGAGAACTAAAAATCAGTACACATTTGACAATGACATTTCGGACTCGCAAACGATACGAAAATTGAGAATATTGGTTCGTGCTAGGGGTACTGAACAATGTTGAGAGCTCTCACAATTCTTGTCCTTCCCAATGACTAGCAAGTCACAATCACCGACAAAGGACCTCTTATACAATTCCTATTGTATCAATCCCAGCTAACGAAGAGGAATTTCAAAAATTTGTATACGTCACTACGTACATTATCGATTAGATCGATACGATGTTTATTAGTCGCCTCATTTACTGATACGACTAAGAAGAAAGTGGCAGATTTACATTTTTAACTAACTCATCCATTCTACAGAAATTAATATGATAAAATTCGATTTATTTGACCCTGAATTTGTATGCAAATGTATGTAGGGTTACTTGTGCTTTCTCTGATCAAAAAGAAGTTTTGTTTGTATTTCATCTGTTATGGCTGTCAACACAAAGTAATGCAGTAATTAGACAACCTCCGTGGCCGAGTGGTTTGTACGCCGGGTTTCATGGCTGTCGCCGACTCGAGAGGGTTCGAATCCCGGTGGGGGCAGATGTTTGTGTGATGAATACGAGCATTTGTACTCCAGTCATGGATGTTTAATATGTATTTATATAAATATACTTATATATGTACAGTATATGTATTCTATCCGTTACCCTAGCATCCCATAACACAAGCCTAATTAGTGCTTACTTTGGGGCTAGGCTAATTGGTGTGAGTGTCGGAAATATTTATTAATTTAAGGGCACGCTCATTTAGTTTACGGGATGATAGAGCCTCGTAAATTCATTAGCATTAGACAAACGAGTATTTAAAGAAAATTTTACTAGAAAAAATTCCACCCTCTGCTAACCCGTCCCAAGTGCCGTCCTTTTTTTTTTGAGCGTGTAAGCTGTTGGTCGCAGATGACCTTTACAGCTTCACCGAGTTTAGGGGACCTCAAGCAGAGAATTTGCGAGTGCCTCTAGAGGTATTACAGGCGGATGGCATCTCCCCATGGGGAGTAATACAAGTGCCGTCTGCTGCTATATTTTCTAATATATTTTTTTTGCATTTAAACACCTAGCAGTTAAATGCTTAAAAAATTTAAATGAGGAGCTGGCGAAAAACCGTACAATTACATAAAATCAAATTTTACAGGAGCTGTAAAATTTCAAGGAGCTGTAAAAAATTGAATGACAGTCCAGTGAGCTTTTGGTATGGTTTATAATTTACAAATTTAGTAATTTTAACACCGTTTTAGGCGGTTTTGATTGAAAATTATTTGAGATTCAAAACAACGAGCCCGAAACCTCCAGTCTGTAAAAAAAAGGCAGTTTGACCGGATGAGTAATTATACCATTTTTTCGCTATCTCTTAAATTAAGTATAATAAAATGTTTAAAGTCTACACTAATGACTTTAGTTTCTTTCGCTTGAATTGGCGTCAAGTTACCAATAATTGCTTGCAATGCGCAAAGTTTTGTCGGACTTGAAATAATTTTATTGTATCGTCTATATCCTTAATGAGCGCGTACACGGCGTAGGAGCAGACACAAATCGATCAGCACAAGAGATCGGCTGTAGGAAACGGCAACATTCGCGCTTACGTCTGAGCCGCCTCTTCGCGTAGGGTTACCAGACACCCGGGTATAGCCTTATTTCAATCAATCAATCATTTATTTATTTTTCTCTCACATGAAAATAAAGTTCATTGTTGTATACCACTTGTGGTTTACAATATGTTATAGTATTGTGAGAGACTGGTGCCTGAATTAGGTTTCAGTGAAACCTGTGACACAGGTCACCAGGACCCTCCCGCTGACTACATACATCATAAAAACAGGGTATGACGTGACTTGAGGCTTAGGTAATGTTAGGTATAATTTTAAAAACTTTATGCTAATTTTAGGTACTTAACTGTTGCAGAGTACATTTACATAATAAATATTTAATTTATATATATACCTACATATATAAAAGTACAAAATATATTACACAAATTACACAATATTAACAATATTAATCAATATTTAGTAAGAGTATGTGTATATTTGTGTGTGTGTGTGTGTGTGAGAATGAGTGAACACTAATGGGGGCACATCGGGAAGCAGAATTCTAGTGGGCAACCTGGACAGACAAAACTACTTAAGAGGAGTAATTAAGTTTTCTGTTGCCTGATAATCAAGGCTCCCCAGGTATTTGCTAACAGTCCACTTGCATACTGTTTTAGAAAGAGGATAGATGTTAAGTAACCCATTTAGCTTGTTGTATAGAAAAAACCCTAAAAAATAGTAGAAGTTATGAGAAGCTGCCGTATTAAATAACCATGTTGAACATGTTAAGTCATTTTTTCGCCTATATATTTATGGGTATTTATTTATGGGTAGATCGCTCACACTGGACCGATTAATAAATTAAATTACCAACTGCTACTGCTGCTGCTATACATTTAAAATACCCTGACCTTGCTTGATTTGCAGTAGTCAATAGTTAGGATTTTTGAATTCTTTTAAAGGCAAATTAGACGGCTGGCAACTTAAAATTACCAGGTTTCGTTTTCCTTTTTACATTCGATACAAATGTTCAAGAATAGAGAAAGTCAAAATTTTAATCTCTAAGACATAGAAAAGCCTATATTATTTAATAATTATATATGGTAAATTCATAATACCTAAATTATAAATAAAATCTGGTTTTATTTGAGACATAATATACCCTATTTTCGAGGAGCTTGATGGCGCGGTTCGTTAGCGCGTTCGGCTGCGATCGATGAAGTTAAGCAGCTTTCGCAGTGGTCGGTCATTGGATGGGTGACCAAAAATCTTCCATCTCGAGTTCCTCCGTGCTTCGGAAGGCACGTTAAGCCGTTGGTCCCGATATCTGCAGATGGATCCCTGCATCTGCAGTCGTTAGCACCCGCCAATCCGCACTGGGCCCGCGTGGTGGGTCATGGCCCAATCTCCCTATTCCATCCATAGGGAAGGCCTGTGCCCCAGCAGTGGGGACATTAATAGGCTGATGATGATGATGGTACCCTATATCTTTTTTAAGCAGGCAAAACCTCTATTTACAAACACCAACGTATGGACACCACGCCTAGACTCTCACAAGTCTCACGGGTGCGAAACGGAGAAGCCGTTAAGCAGTCCGCGCGGCTTACGAGCGCTTACGGCATACACTTAAAAAAACCTGCGAATACCCTCTACGCTGTTAGGTGCGGAACCGCGAGATCCCTTAGAGCATAAATGCTCTAAGCGAGATCCCCGTTGAGGGATTTCACCGCGTCTAAGATGCCCTATATTTAAGTTTTCACATCCTTTTTTACGCATAATTACTAGTATGTCCGGCTATTCTCCTTTAAAACCTGGCAAGTGGAAGATGTCTATATGTAGTTTGTGTGAAATATTGACCTTCATCATCATCATCATCAACCCATGTTCGTCCACTGCTGGACATAGGTCTCCCCTTATGCACGCCACTGCTCCCGATTTTGTGCTACTCTCATCCAGCCCACTCCAGCCAGCCTACGAATATCGTCATCCCATCTTGTCACAGGGCGTCCTACACTACGTTTACCGAGTCATGGTCTCAACTCAAGAACTTTCCGGCTCCAATGGCCATCAGTTCTGCGGCTAATGTGACCAGCCCACAATATTGGCCTTAGTTTTAACAAATTTATAAGAATATTACCATGTACATTTTTTTGCAAATAAATATTATTATAATTGTTATTAAGTAGCAACCCTGCCTCCGCGCGGGCTAGCTGGCGTTGCGCCAGAGCACAAATAGTCGCGCCCGACTACTGCACCGCACGCGCAACCGTATTTCTATATCACTGACTCACAACTATTAGGCCCGTGACTTTTATTGGAGGACTGTCAACTAATTTCTTGTTTACAATGTATTGTCTTCATTTACCGTGACTCCACCAATCCCCGTATTACCACGTGAATCTTAGGAAGCCTGACTGACGCATACTACATAAAAACATGTTATTGGTGACGATTCTGGCATGATTCACTAAACACTGTTGTCAAATTTAAGTTTAAAATTTGACAACAGTGTTAATTATACACCGTGTTCCTGAGGATATACATAAACTTTAAATAATACTTCTATATCTCTTGCTGAACATATCGTACAAAGAAAGTAGTAGTTTAAATGGCATAGTTATTGGTAATTTAAGTGTAACCAACTTAATTGTGTTATTCAGTGAGAATGAGTCTTTATCTGTGAGTTGTTGCCACTTTGTGCAACGAAAAATATCAAACTATCAACTCTTTGTCAATGTTCATTAAGTCATAGTTTCTAAGTCAAAATTTTAAAAAACATTGTTGACGTCAAGAAGAGTTTCAAAAAAGTTAATGTGGACATGTGAACCAAGGTTTCAAATGCGACGTTGCCAGCTCAGGTAAAGACTAATTCATATTAGATAAATTACATCTAAGCATTTAGTTTGTATGAGAATAAAAAATGATAAAGTAAATTGGAATTCATAAAAGTGTCAATAGTAAAAAATTACCAATTTAATAGTCTGAATAACATCCCAAAGTTAGAGTATAACCTCAGGAACACGGTGTATAGACATAAAGAAAAGAAAAGAAGTCGTACTAATCGACACCAGTATCCCTATAAAATAACATTTGTGTATGTAAAATAGATGACAACCTACCAAGCATCTAACCCGCCCTCTTCTACTGATTTCATGGCACTGCTTCAACGATTTTGACGAATTTTGGCAGAGAGATATAAGAGATACGTGTAAAGGCTAGTTTTTTGTCGCGAA